GAACACATTTTTTAGTTCAGAGCTTCGGGGCTTCAGAGCTCTAATTTCGGGTTTAAGGTTTAGGGTTTAGGGTTTAGGGTTTAAGGTTTAGGGTTTAGGGTTTAGGGTTTAGGGTTTAGGGTTTAGGGTTTAGGGTTTAGGGTTTAGGGTTTAGGGTTTAGGGTTTAGGGAGCCTCCGCCACTTCCGCACCCTTCGCGAAGCATCCCATGGGCGGCTCTAACGGAGCCTCCGCTTTCTTGACCTCTTGGGCTCGGGGAAAGTCGGGTTTGGGTTTAGGGTTTAGGGTTTAGGGTTTAGGGTTTAGGGTTTAGGGTTTAGGGTTTAGGGCTTAGGGTTTAGGGTTTAGGGTTTAGGGTTTAGGGTTTCGGGTTTAGGGTTTAGGGTTCAGGTTTAGGGTTGAGGGTTTAGGGATTAGGGTTTAGGGTTTAGGGTTTAGGGCTTAGGGTTTAGGGTTTAGGGTTTAGGGTTGAGGGTTTAGGGTTCAGAGTTCAGAGTTCAGGGTTTAGGGTTTAGGGTTTAGGGTTTAGGGTTTAGGGGTTGGGGCTTGGGGCTTAGGGTTTGGGGTTTAGGGTTCATTTAGTCCCGACAGAATGCAAGAAAAAGGGCGTTTTTGGCTCGGGAAGGGGTACCCCCCCATGGCGGACCCTGGATTTCACGATTTTCGGGTCAGGGAAGAGGGGGGTCCAGGGGGTCCAGGGTGGTGCACTTCTGAGGGCTCGGGTCGTTCATCAAGAGTAGGATCAGAGAAGATCCCTGTGTAAATATGGGCGCCACTCTGGTGGCCTAGTGGCAAGGCGAGGTTGAGGGGCTCTCTATTCGACCATTCTCCAATGGCTCCACCCATTGTCCATCCAGTAAAGGTGTCCATCACTGCCGGGTATCTTCTGGGTCCAGGCACCCTAGGACAGGGTGGGTACGGCCAAAGGAGGCCGGGTGGGAATTTAGGGTTTAGGGTTTAGGGTTTAGGGTTTAGGGTTTAGGGTTTAGGGTTTAGGGTTTAGGGTTTAGGGTTTAGGGTTTAGGGTTTAGGGGTTAAGGTTTAGGGTTTAGGGTTTAGGATTTAGGGTTTAGGGTTTAGGGTTTAGGGTTTAGGGTTGAGAGAGGGCTTTTTGGGCTTACAGGGCTTAAGAGGGTCTAGAGGGCTTAGAGGGCTTACAGGGCTTGCAGGGTCAGAGGGCTCTAAAGGCTTTTAGGGCGTTGTGCCTTTGTAGGCTTATGGGCTCTATAGTCTTCATAGGGTTTTTGCTTAGGGTTTAGGGATTAGGATTTAGGGTTTAGGGTTTAGGGTTAGGGTTCAGGGTTTAGGGCACCTCAAACCCCCCCCCCACCCCCCTCCACTGGCAGGCCTTTGGCTTCTTCACCTTTGCGGAACTAGGGTTTAGGGTTCAGGGTTCAGGGTTTAGGGTTTAGGGTTTAGGGTTTCGGGTTTAGGGTTTAGGGTTCAGGGTTTAGGGTTTAGGGTTTAGGGTTCCTCTAAGCCCCCAAAAGGATTATAGTATCCCAAAAAGTGTACCGTGGACTCCTTCAGCTACGAAGACAACGACCGGTCCGGGTTTAGGGCTTTAGGACTCAAGGCTTCATGGTGCGAGGGTGGCTTTGTGGTCACCCTAAACCCTAAACCCTAAACCCTGAAACCCCTAAACCCTAAACCCTAAGACCCTAGGGGCTTCGGGCGTTTTAGGGTTTTCGGGTTTACGGCGTTTCAAAGTACAAGGAAGGCAAATCCTAAACCACATCTTGAACCAAAATACCTCACACCCGCAACCCTTTTCCTTTGTCAGGGATGACCCCAAAAAGCCCCAAACCAAACAACCCTGACCTAAGCGTCTCTAGAGGCTGCCATAGAGGGAGCGGTAGGGGTGAAGGCTCCATTGGGAGCAGGTGTTCCAATCGCAGGGTGACTTTTTCGGATGCGAACTCCTGCTACGGCGCAGCTTCTTCTCGACCAGGCTGTGGCGCAACAGAGTTATACCCTAAACCCTAAACCCCAAACCCTAAACCCGAAACCCTAAACCCTAAACCCTAAACCCTCCTCCGCACTTAAGTCTGTCCACGAAGCAGTCCATGCCGCCTGCGCGGCGTGTAGCCCAACTTCAAGCCACCTGAATCCTCCTCGCCCCAAGCACGCACGGAGTCACGTGCCAGCCACAGTCGCTCGATCCACGTTTCGAATGCTTGGGGTTTAGGGTTTAGGGTTTAGGGTTTAGGGTTTAGGGTTTAGGGTTTAGGGTTTAGGGTTTAGGGTTTAGGGTTTAGGGTTTAGGGTTGAGGGTTGAGGGTTGAGGGTTGAGGGTTGAGGGTTGAGGGTCTAAGGCTTAGGGTTTGAGGCTTGGGGTTTAAGGTTTTGAGGGTTGAGGGTTTTGGAGAGGCTTGGGTCCCTTTTTGGGGGTCCTTACCGTAGTCTACTGGGCTAAAACGGAGCCAAATTTGGAGAACTAATGGCCCCAAACCCTAAACCCCAAATCCTAAACCCCAAACCCTTAACCCTAAGGCCAAACCCCAAACCCTAAACCCTAAACCCCAAACCTTGCACCCTTATGGAAGGAGCCTTGGCAGATTTCACCTCCGTGAACTGTTGTTCGACCAGCTTGCGCTTGCTGGCCTCCAAGCGAGTTTTGGGTTTAGGGGTTCAGGGGTTCAGGGGTTTTGGGGTTTTGGGGTTTTGGGGTTTAGGGCGTTTAGGGGGTTTTGGGGGCTTAGGGGGTTTAGGGGGTTTAGGGGGTTTAGGGGGTTTAGGGGGTTTAGGGGGGTTAGGGGGTTTAGGGGGGTTAGGGGGGTTAGGGGGTTTAGGGGGCTTAGGGGTTTAAAGGTTTGGGTTGGTGTTTTAGGGTTGGGGCTTAGGGTTTAGGGTTTAGGGTATGGTTCAGGGTTTACAGAGGTTTATAGTGGTTTAGGCTTATCGGGGTTTAGGGGTTTAGAGGTGGAGGGCTTCTAGGGGTTCAGGGTTCAGGTTGTAGGGTTTTGGGCTTATAGGGACAGGGTTTCTGGGGGCTTGCAGGGGTTTAGGGCTTATGGGGGTTAGGTAGACCCTAAACCCTAAACCCTACCTATACCCACCCACAAGCCTTCCAGTCACCATCCAAGAGTTGAACCCTAAAGCCTCACCCCCCAAACTCGCCGTCTGAATATCGGGTTCGTGGCCACGAGCTTGGAGATGTTTGGTTTCAGGTTTCTGGGTTTAGGGTGACACCCCCCCCCCCCCCCCCCAAAAAAAAAAAAAAAACCTAACACACAAAGTCCACAGCAGAGTTTGACGTTCCTGGTTTGGGGTTTAGGGCTTAGGGCTTAGGGGTTCAGACGTCCGAATGATCAGCCGATAGTACAGCAGGAGTCCTTCCTTTACAGCTCAAAAGCAGCCTGGCTGTTGCTAAACCTGGGGCTCAAAACCTGAAACCCTCAACCCTCAACCCTCAACCCCCGAAACCCTAAACCCTAAACCCTAAACCCTAAAAACCCTAAAAACCCTAAACCCTAAACCCCAATGCAAACCGCAAGCCAAGCCACCGACCTCCAATCCAACGTTGCAACAAGCCACGCCTTCATGCGAACAGCCATGTGTGGCGAATCGCGGACGCTGCGAAGCTGATCTGCTGTCCAAAGCAATGTTCCACTTATTGGTCTGGCATTGACAATTGCACGTTGTTGCGCAGTGGAAGCAAACCGATGTGCTCAACCAAGCAAAGCCGGAAACGGAAGCCATCTGCCTCTGAGCCCAAAATGGTCAAGTTTTGCACATCAACAAAGCTGCATCAGAGCACGGGGGTTGCCGCTAGTTTTAGGAGAAGCTTCTGATCCGCTTCTTCTGGACTGAGAAATTCGCAGGTTTTGGCCGTTTGCTTGTTGCATAGATAGGTATAGTCGTAGCGCTTAGTGCAGAATTATCACAAACACACGTTTGGCTTAATTCTCGGGCTAGGTGCAACAATGTGAAACATGCATGAGAAGTGGTGCGAGTTTTTGTCATGTAGTTGCAAGAAAGGCGGGGACAACCAGACAGGAAACAGACAGGAAGAAAACACCACGGCCAGGGCGGAACGTGCTTCATGTCGTCCTGGTATTTCTTCGCCAGAACCCTAGCAGGCCCTAGCAGACACACTGTTTCAAAGAGCACTTTGCGGGGTTTCGAATAGGGGTTAGGGTTTAGGGTTTAGGGCTTAGGGTTTAGGATTAGGGTTCAGGGTTTAGGGTTCAGGGTCTAGGGTTCAGGGTTTAGAGTGAGAACAAGAATCTCCAAACCCAAACGTTCAGTCTGGGCATCCAACATGTCATGGAGGGTTTAGGGTTTAATGTGTAGGGGGTTAGGGTGATCTTGGCCCAACTTTGAATGCTTTCTGGACGCTCAGTCAGCAGCTGTACAAAGGGCACCTGTACATGGACATGCCGCTGCATGATGTCCTGCCTTTGCAAGCTGCAAAGGCAATGCCGTGCAGGGCAAGGCAAACAGGGTGGATTCCTAACAAAGGCGGCATTTCCTCAAACTTACTGTGAGGGAAATTTGACCATCACCTGATGTCCCCGACGGCAATGCAAAACGACTTCTGTACACATCCTACGTGCGGAAAATTCCGCCAGGAGGTCCCCCGATCAGGGCTTAAAGTACAGGCCCCCTAGCATGGGTCCTTTACACCCACGAACATGCCCTGCTTTCGCGCGGTTCTCTATATTACGGGCCCTGTTCTGTACCCTATATTGCCGGGTACCCTACATACAAGGCTCCGTCTTGCAATAATATCTCCCAAAAGAGACAATAATTTAGAGAACCTCCCACATACCTTGTTAAAGTAAAGGCCACGTGGCCCATAGCGTAAAACCCTACACCCTAAGAAAACGTAACCCCTAAAGCCCTAGAACCGAACAAAAAAAAACCCTCTACAGACCCCAGGCTATATACCCCCGAGGTTTAGGGTTTCGCGTTTCGGGTTTCGCGTTTAGGGTTTAGGGTTTAGGGTTTAGGGTTTAGGGTTTAGGGTTTAGGGTTTCTTCGGACGGGGCCCTCACCCTAGGCCATGGAAAGTGAGCCGAATTCCGCCACGACGGCTTCAAGGTCGCCGCGGCGCGGCATTTTGCCGGGCATCACCTGAGCTGTGGTTTAGGGTTTAGGGTTTGGGGTTTGGGGATTGGGGTTTGGGGTTTAGGGTTCAGGGTTTAGGGTTTAGGGTTAAGTTTGGGGGCTTTGTGCTGACCTAAGGCCAGGAAAACTGAACCCTTGAAACCCTAAGCCACTCTAAGCCCTAAGCCCTCACCCCTAAACCATGATACGCCCTAAGCTCTCAACCCTCAAAAGCCCTAATATAGGGGTCGGAATCATGGTCCCTTTCTAGATATATAAGTATACTACAATAACCCCAAAACCCTATTCTAATTGTTAAGGCCCTATATTAAACCCCTGCTCCCCAGAAACTCGCTTGCATCGGCAGTGGCAGCATCCACTGCTTCGCCATCCGCCTGCGTGTTGCCGGCGACAACGGCCGCCTGGTCCCTGAAAGAGCATCCCTAAACCCTAAACACTAAACCCCAAACACCAAACCCCAAACCCTAAACCCCAAACCCCAAACCCCAAACCCTAAACCCCAAACCCTAAACCTCAAACCCCGAACCCTAAACCCCTAAACCCTAAACCCTAACCCCTAAACTCCTAAACCCGCGACCCTTACGTCTCCAGTGCCACAAGACATGACCCTTAGCAGGGTTTAGGGCTGAGGCTTCAGGGTTTAGGCTTTAGGGTTTAGGGTTTAGGGTGTAGGGTGTAGGGTTTAGGGTTTGGGGCTTCGGGTTTAGGGTTTAGGGTTTAGGGTAGGGTTTAGGCTGTAGGGTTTAGGGTTTAGGGTTTAGGGTTCAGACCTGGCGTCTACGCGGATTCGCTTGCGGCCGGCGTTGCCCCGGAGATGCGTGCCGAAGACCTTCGCGAGTCAGGGACACCCAACATTTAGGGTTTAGGGTTTAGGGTTTAGGGTTTAGGGTTTAGGGCTTAGGGTTTAGGGTTTAGGGTTTAGGGTTTAGGCTTTAGGGTTTAGGGTTTAGGGTTTAGGCTTTAGGGTTTAGGGCTATAAGTAGAATAGGGTTTTGGGGGTAATTATTTGGGACGTTCCCCCTTATACTAACAGTCCTTAATAGGGGTTCTAGTATAGGGGGGGGGTACTAGAATCCCCTATCAAGGACTGTTAGTATAAGGGGGAACATCCCAGGTTGTTGTAGCACAGCCATATAGGGACCATGAGGGAATACTACTCGCGTTTATTCCGACCCCTATAGCAGGCGGAGGCACGGAGCTGAGAGAGCTCGAGTTGTTCATGGGCTGCCACCCTAAACCCTAAAACCCTAAAACCCTAAAATCCTAAACCCTAAACCCTAAACCCTAAACCCTAAACCACTGTGGCAGAGAAACTAACGCATCCCAACTATGATTGTATTCCTATGTTGCCTAAGAGTTTGAGCGCAGTGGATCGACCTTTCGTCCAACTTGATTCTCCAGCCTGCTGACACCTGCGGCTCCGGCCGAGGGTGGGTGCTGCATGCCTTCGTGGCTCTCCTTGAGCAAACCACTCTAGACCTGAAAGCCCTTGATACCCCCACCAAAAGCCCCATGGAGACCAATCCATGTACACCCCCAAACCCTGAACCCTGACCTGAACCTCAACCCTAAACCCTAAACCCTTAAACCCTTAAACCCTCAATCCTTAACCCTAAACTAAACCCGAAACCCTAAACCCTAAACCCTAAACCCTAAACCCTAAACCCCCCCTTCCAAATGCGCGGTGAGAGCGGCATTTTCCGTGATGGACGTCACTTCAGGATCACCCGCGCCCACCGAGGGTGTCGGCTCCAGGCGGATGGCCCAGCCCGTGTTGCCTCAAGGAGCGGGGATTGGGGGAGGGGGGGGGGGGGCCTTGATTCAGGAATATACCTTGAAGAGTTTTAGTGTTTAGGGTTTAGGGTTTAGGGTAACTCATGACAAGAACACCTAAAGATTGAAGGTATGTCTTCAACCCTAGGCCCTCAAACTACTAAATGAGGGGGAATTGGGGCCTCGCGGGAATCTCTCTTCTGTTTGGCTGTATGCTAAGCTACAGCACACCCACTGGCTTTCAAAGCTGCACGTACCCAAAGACTCCACCAAACCCTAACCCTAACCCCACACCACAGGAGCAGAAGCAATAGCATATACTTGGGCCATATGGGACGCATCTTTAAGCCCAAGCCTAAACCCTGAACCCTACTTGGAGCTTCATGGTACTTTATTAACCAATTATAGCTGTACCTATAACCGTACTTATAGCCATATTAGGGCAGTTAAGGGGCTTCTCAGTGGGTTATAAGTACAGTTAAGATTGGTTAATACGTACCCTAAACCCTAAACCCTAAACCCTAAACCCTAAACCCTAAACCCTAAACCCTAAACCCTAAACCCTAAACCCTAAACCCTAAACCCTAAACCCTAAACCCTAAACCCTACACTTATAATTGGGTCATAATAAGTAACATGAACCTCCAAGCAAACCCTCTGCTGGGCCCAGAGGGCCCAAGGTCTCGCGTTTGAGGAAAGCACCTTGGAAGCAGCATCGCTGCACGTTCGCAGAGCTCCTGCAACCCCCCGCTTTGAAGGAGGGTTCTGGGTGCTGGGTTTTTTGGGTTTTGGGTTTGGGGTTTGGGGTTTGGGGGTTTTGGGGGTTTTGGGTTTTGGGTTTTGGGTTTTGGGTTTTTTTGGGTTTTGGGTTGTGGGTAAGAGTCCTGTCCTACGTCTGTGTGCAAGTCTTTCTGTGCGTCTGCCCTAAACCCTAAACCCTAAACCCCAAACCCTAAATCCTAAACCCTGAACCCCACACCATATGTCTTTGCGCCGAACCCACGGCTCCCGCCCGCCACGACGACGCCGCGGCCGTTGTCGAGAAGGTCGCAAGAGTCGAGCTCCAGGCGGCCCTCCTGCGTGCTTTAGGGTTTGGGGTTTGGGGTTTAGGGTTTAGGGTTTAGGGTTTAGGGTTCAGGGCCGAGGGTTTACAGTACAGGGCTGGTCTTTTCAAGAATTTCGGGCCAGGCTTGGCAAGTGTTGGATTGCAGCCCCGTCCTTGGCCACGGACGCACCACCGCGCTGGCAGCGCGCGATGTGGCACCTTGTCGCCAGGGTGCTTGGTGCTTGATGGGTTTGGGGTTTGGGGTTTGGGGTTGAGGGTTGAGGGTTTAGGGTTTAGGGTTTAGGGTTTAGAGTCTTAGAGTTTCCCTCAAACCCTGTAGAGCCCTACTTACTGCAACCCGCGTACCTAAAGCCCTAAAACCCTCAATGAAGCCCTAACCTCAAGACCCTGAAGCCTGAGCTCCCTTTGTCTTGAACCCGAAAGCCCAAGCCCTTAAGGCCCTAAACGCTGAGCCCAAGAAACTCTAAGATCTTGCAAATACCCGTTTCTTTTTTTTCCTTTTGTTTTTGTGCGGGGGGGGGGGGGGGGGGGGGGTTCAGAAGTATTAGAAGCATTTCCGGGTATACTAAGGGCACCTTGCTGGTACTTTCGGAGTTCGGGAATTGGGAACCTTATACTTCCCCGCGTATTACCCCTTGAAGCCTACACCCTCAACCCTAAGCCCTGCACCCCAAAACCCTAAACTCTGATCCCTAAACCCTACACCTTGAACCCCAAAACCCTGAGCCCTACACCCTAAACCTAAAACCCTAAACCCTAAACCCTAAACCCTAAACCCTAAACCCTAACTCCCTCTTCAGAAAACCGTAAGCCGCCACCTCGAAAGTCGAAGTTGGGCCCCAGAGCCCTGCACCAGAAGCCCATCGCCGTTGTCGAGGAAGCCTAGGGTTCAGGGTTTAGGGTTTAGGGTTTGGGGTTTGGGGTTTGGGGTTTAGGGTTTGGGGTTTGGGGTTTGAGGTTTGGGGGTTGGGCTTTGGGCTTTGGGGTTTAGGGTTTGGGTTTAGGGTTTAGGGTTTAGGGTTTGGGGTTTGGGGTTTGAGGTTTGGGGGTTGGGGTTTGGGGTTTGGGGTTTGGGGTTTGGGGTTTGGGGTTTGGGGTTTGGGGTTTGGGGTTTGGGGTTTGGGGTTTGGGGTTTGGGGTTTGGGGTTTGGGGTTTGGGGTTTGGGGTTTGGGGTTTGGGGTTTAGGCGTTTGGGGGTTTGGGGTTTAGGGTTTCGGGTTTAGGGTTTGGGGTTTACAGTGGTGTTGATGCACAGCCACTTGACGTCGTCGATGCAGCAGTCGTAGTTTCCTTGGTCGTTGATAAAGAAGCCGAACATGCTCTCGCTGTTCTCGCAGGGAACGCCGAAGATGCCGAAGACGCTTCTCTGCGCGACGATCCTTCCCACGCGCTTCCATTTCCCGTCCGCTGGCTCGTCCGACGCTGCTGCAGGATGGCCGTCAGGTAGGTACGGGACGTCGTGATGGGCACGATGCTGGCCCCGTCGAAACGGTCGCCGCAGCTGGCGTCCCCTCTGGCGCCGATGGTGCTGCACAGGTCGATGGTGACCCGAGGCGGGTGTGGGGTTTAGGGTTTAGGGTTCTTGGGCTTTAGGGTTTGGGTTAGGGTTTGGGGTTTAGGGTTTAGGGTTGAGGGTTTGGATTTGGGGTGTGGAGTTTAGGGTTTGGGGTTTGGGTTTGGGGTTTGTTAGGGGGTACAATCCAGGTTTAGGGTTTGAAGGAGACAGTTCGGGGCTTTAGGGCTAAGGGGTTCCAGTTCAGGCGGGTTCAGGGGTTTAGGGCTTCGGGTTTAGAGTTTAGGGTGTAGGGCTTGGAGCTGAGGGAGTCCTAAACGTCCTAAGCATGGAAACTCTGATCCCCAAGGCACCCTGCGTCCACCAAGAGCTGAGGCCCTCCACCACAGTACCCAGGCCTCTTTCTCTACGGGGTTTAGGGGGTTTGAGGTTTAGGGTTTAGGGTTGGGGTTTAGGGTTTAGGGTTTAGGGTAAACCCTAAACCCTAAACCCTAAGCCCTAAACCCTAAACCCTAAACCCTAAACCCTGTTTTAACAAAAGGAAGATGATAAAGGTTTAGGGTTTAGGCCTTAGGG